GTGGAGTCACTTTGTAGGCAGATGAAGCTGTGGACCTAGAGTTCACAGCAGCATTGGGGCCAAACACTTTGGACAGTTCAGTAGTAGTTAAAGTCATGGATAATGAAGTCACCCACAAAAAGTCTTTTAAGTGAGATAAGAGAAGTGTTAAGGATGAAATTCCCATGAACCATGGACCTTTAAGAAGTGGCAGAAGGGAAAGGGACTTGAGACCTGGTCAGAGAAAAGGGAACAAGGAGAGATTGGTGTCTTACAAGTTAGGGAACAGCGAGTTTCTAGACGGGTGTGACAGTGATGAGTGCTCTCAGGAGGTCAAAGTGGAGACTGAATCCTTGGGAGTTGACAATCGGAAGACATCTTTTATCTCCATGGGAACGGTTGCAGATAGGCTGGTGGTGGAAACCAGATTGCAGTGGTTAAGGGGTGGAAGGCAGGAGACCTTTGAAAGAACAGTGGGGGAGAACCGGGTGAGTGTTCTTTTTCACTTAAGATCGGAACAACCTAAAACTATGAGTTAAGGAGAAGGAGCCAATACACATAGGAGAAACTGTGGTTTTTCTGCGCTGAGACTTTCTGCTTAGCATTACTTTCGGCCCAGGGGTTTCACGAGTTCCTTCACCTGTTAGCATCTAACTTCAGCTGTCTGAGCGAAGCTACATAACAATATCCCATGCGAGCCTGAGGGGACGGGAAATCTCTCTCCTCTTTCTTCCTCTTCTTATAAGGCTACCAATCCTCCTGGATTAGGGCCCTCCCCTTTGTTAAAAAAACAAATTCAGCTGAGTAAATTTGACTATCTAATTGGCTTTATTAAGAGATTCATGAATGGGGAGCATCCCATCTAGCAAACGGAAGGGCTCTCTGAGGTAAGGAGTTGCACAGCAATGGAAAGTTTCTTTTTCTTTTTCTTTTTTTTTTTTAAATAGGAAGAAAGTGTAAAGCAAGGGAGCTATTAGTGAAAGAAGAGAAAGGATTATTTTGGGGCCTGGATTATTTTTCTTTGGGCCAAGAAAAAGGGGAGGGTTTTTATCATGCAGGTTGCCTCTTCTTGTGGGGTTCAGAGCTGGTGCAGAGGTGATGAACAGGCCTTAGGTGACAGATATTGGTCATTAATCAAAAAATTCCAGACTGGTTCGTTAAGATTATGTTTCTGAAAGAGGCTGAAACTGCAGTGAGAGCAGCTATTAAATCTAGGTTTGGTGCCATGGGCCTTTGGCATGAGCGATGCCATTTTGGGCCTGTGGTTTTTTTTCCTTAAATACCTTTTAACCTCATTTAACCTTAATTACCTTTTTAAAGGTGCCATCTCCAAATATAGTCATATTGGGGGTTAGGGCTTCAATATATGAATTTTGGGAAGACAGTTTAGTCCATGGCATTGCCAGAGACTGGAAATATGTCTGTTGATAAGTAGTCAAACAAAATAAAGTAACAAAGACTATCCATCACCGTATCTTCAGTTTTCAATAACCGAAGTGATGTTGTCTTTAATATATAAAAATGCAGAAAAATATGAACTGTGTTGACTAGATTTTTATAGTCTATAATGAAATTCATTCAAAAATCAATGTTAGACTCCTTTGGAGTTTTTTCATTCAGTATATCTTTTTTCAGGTGCCTTTTCCAGAGGATCATCAGGTATCCTGAGCCAGGAGAAAGAGTCTCTCTCACCTGCTACTGTCACCGCAAAGGTACGTTTGATTCACGGCCTCAGTGGCTTTGCTCTGACACCCATGACCGCTGGGGAGCCAAGGCCTCGCGTCCCAAGGAATGCTCCCCCATGTACGACTGAGCTCACCAGGGACACTGCGTCAGGCGAGAGGGGGGACTGCTCCGAGGAGTGAATTTGGTTCAGGAACTCCCCAACCGCCTTTCCAAACTCTTAGAACTGCACTGCCCTCTAAGGCCCCTCCTTCCTTCTTCCCTTCCCTCCTTCCCTTCCTCCAGCCTCAGACCTGTTCTGCAGAACGATGCTCTCTCCACCTCCTCCAGCCTCCTTCCCCAGGTTCCCTCACAGGCTTTGCCCTGATAAGTCTTTAGCTTGTATCAAATGCCAATTCCCTAATAGGATCAACAAGATAAAACTGAGTTTACTGCTCAGGTCTCGGGGAGAATTACCACTTCAGGAGAGCTTTGCTGGTGTCCCACAGGCGTTGGAGCAAGGCCTGATTTTATCCAGATTTTGCTTAGTTTAAGGCAAGTCAATGAGGGGATTAATTAGGAATTGTGATATAAGGTATTTTGAGATTCATGGAATTTATAGTATTATCGAACACTTCAGCAAGGGGAGTAATATGAGGCCAGAAATCCAGAGTGTTGGTAGGAAAGCTGTTGATGCTCTCTGTTAAAGAGTT